CGGAGAAAAATCTCGCACCGATCGCAACATATTCGTAACACATCTGTTGAACGTTGCAGGGGCGTTAATAATACTCTGTGGCATCACTAGCCACTCCCAGAGCATACCACTGAGGGTGCTTACTGCTGTGTAAGGGATGTGTCGTTCACGCATGAGGATCTGATAGAATCTATCCATCAGATCCATGGACAAAAATATGGTACTCTTTGCCATACCATCTATGATGAAGTCCTTTCTTGGGATCGGCGTTTGAGCCGGTACGGTTGAAGCATTTAGTTTGTTAAATGCTTGCACTTTCCGCCACCCTCCTGTGGCCTTTCGCACACAGAAGGTCGGAGAGCTGTGTGGGGAAGTTGATTCCCTCACATGACCAGCCGCTAAACGATCGGCAAAGAATTTGTCGATCGCTGTGACCTGTTCACGAGGCAGTGGTCACTGATTCATGACACAGTATTTTGAACCAGTTTCAGTTCGATCTCATGCCAAGTGCCTTTGTCCTTAGGCACCTCGCATGGCACGGATTTCGGTAAAACATCCCTGTGTTCAACCAAATCCTTATACAAAATATTTGTCTTCAAAGACTCCTAAAAATGAGACGTGTACCGCTCAATCCAAGTCTTCTCATCGAGGACACTCTCTTCCATCGATGAGTAACGAGAACCCGTTCGTTCTCAGCAAACACTTGTGCCGATCAAATATCGGCGACGTACTCGTCCTCTGTGACGAGTACGCAGACCTGCTTGATCTTGTCACTACGCAGATCTCGCAAGAATCTTTTAGATTCTAGCGTTGGCAACTTGACCACCTCCGAAGCTGACTTCGTAGATGTAACCAGAATAAGTGTAGATGCGCCTACACTTGATCCGTCGTTCACCAAGACATTCACTGACTCGGTGTTTTCCTAAGAAAACACATCCGCAGGTGGTTGGGTATCTACACCCTCAACATAACACTCTCGGGAGTTACCACTCTCAGGAAAGCTTGAACTTTCTTTCAATATGTGTTCTGGCTGTGGGTGCACTACCACAGTCACGTCCACTTCGATCGACTTTCTTTCAGTCGATTGGGCTTGTTCTACGATCGACTTTCTGCTAGTCGATCTCGATTCGACGTGATGTTCACCCTGAACACCACTAATTTATCTTCTCGGATGCACCCTTCTTGGTGTGCATCCATGTTTCGGTCCACTCGATCTCTTCGAGGGGTGAACCTTCGGCGCAGCCTGTGTCTCTCCACAGGTACCGGAAGCCGGTTCCGCAGTGTTGTGGCCTTCTACACTGTGATCTTGTGCAATCGTTCTAACGACCGTACCACAAGTGAGGCCATCGCACTCACTTGTAGTACATCCACACGCCTATGAACATTCTAAGACGTTCGTCAGATGGCCATCTGATGAACAAACGGCAGGCATCTTCATGGATTGATGCTGCAAGCTGACCCATGGCTAGTACTTTCTAAGCCATGACAGACCGAGGATGACATCAAATTTGTCATCCAAATCTAGTACGATAAAGTCATCATCTTAATCCTTTCCTTCTAGCGTGTAGTGGATTCCCACTACACGTTTGTTCACTTTTACGGATGCACCTTTAGAAAGGCACACCGTCATCCTCGTTGGAGGGAAATCTCGCTCAACATAGTTGAGCCTACTATACTCTAGCGACAGGCGTCGAATAAAACTCTTCGACGCCCCACAGTAAACTAGGGCAAGAAGTGACATTCCACTTGTCACTTCGATCTTCAAAGTGATGAGTGACACCTCATCACTAGGGAAAGTAACACACAGCGACTGTGTGTTGGGAGAAATCTTCGTCAAGAGTCCTGCAAAGTCTCTTGAAGTTGCTGGATCAGCAGGGTGCTCCGCCCCTACTGACCCTGTCCGTTTTTTGACGGTCCGACTTGCTGTCGCGACTTAGCGACATGGTCGGACCCACGCCTTGGACCTTTCCTTGGCCAACGGTGGTCATCACGTCCTGTCTTTAAACGTGTTGCAGTGCTCGGGACACTGCACTCATGAGCGTGGTGTCCAATATTCTGACAGCGATGGCATCTTGCCGTTCTCTTGTGACTCAGAGAGCGAGAGTTCTTGCTCTCGATGTAACAGAGGTCCATCAATTCAGGACCTCCTGTTTCCTGTCGTCTCGTCGGACGATAGTTTGACGAGCTAGCCTGAGACTGTCTCAGGCTGAAGTCTTCTTGTTCTGCATACGCTATCGCCCTTTTCAGCGTATGGAAGTCCTCTCGGAACATGTAGGTCTCACTGGTCCATCTGCAAGGCCGTAAATGAACACGTTGATGAGCATGTGCTCATCAACAGGGTGTTCCGTGACGCTACTCGCAAGGTAGCGTAGGTGTTGTGCGTAAGCATGAACATCACGCTTGCCTTGCTTGAGCCCCAGGAGTGCAGAGCGGACTCGGATCGTGGCGGCTCAAACGTCTCTTTGAGCCGAGACTTCAAGGTCGCTAACGACTCAAACACGTTTGGGCCGTGAAGCTTGATCCCTAAGGCCCAAGTCTTTGCTCGTCCCGTCAAACTTGACAGGGCGATGGTGACTTGCATCTCGTCACCTTCGATGTGACGGGCCCTAATGGCATCGTCTACCCCGACGAACCATCTCAAAAGAGAACCTTCATCGACTTCCTAGTACCTTGAGATATCAATCTTCAAAGTTTCGGGTCTACGCACGTGCGTCGGCCCGCCCATCGACTGATGAGAGCCTCGCTGTTGTAGCAAGGCTATCTTCTGTCTTTCGACGGCAAGTTCCCCTTGTAGGAACTTGTTGATAGCAGCATGTTGCTAGTCTCTGCTTAAAGAGTCCAACATGTCACTGATGGCGAATTCGGCAAATAGCATACTCATGCGGCCGATTGTCTCCCATTCTGAGTCACTCAGATGGGAGTAGCCTTCACGTGTGACGTGAAATCTGTCGTCTTCTACGTCCAACATGTTCATGTTGGACGTACACTAAGTAGTCGTTGGACGGACATAGAAGTGCTACCAGGTGTAACGGGGCACCCTTTGCTCGGGGTGCCACGAAACTTCATGTACACTAGAACGTGCAGAGGAAGCTAATCTACTCAACAACTAAGCTGAGTAAAAGGTAAAAGAGAACTGTATACAAAATAGTTAAGCTATCAATATAACTTTAATCTTTATCTAACTACATTAAACTACGTTGTCGTATGACGACAACCTGCTCACCACTAATTGCGCGCGTCTAGCAGCGATTGGTGGTAGTCTTGTTTGATATGTATTTTATCAACCAATCTTCAAACAGCACGCAAATATTATCTTCAGGATAATATTTCTTCAATATTATTCATCTCGGATAATATTGGTAGAACATTGTCACGCTAGACAATCTCCCTATTGACACCGTTTGGTGTCAATATCATGTAACGGGCTACCCCGTTACAGTACGTAGAGCTAATGTTTGCCGATTGCAAGTCTTCTCCATAAGACGCCGACAAAATGGATGTCAAAAAGTCGTTTGAGCATTCAAAAAGGAATTGTTGTTGGACGAGTTCGTCGGAGATGGAATCTGGCAATGCGTAAGAAGTCGCCCGAGACTAGTCCGGCACCCGTATTCTACCTACAAATGCTTATTTTCCCCTCGTGAGCAGCTGGTGGCTACAAATTTGTTTGACAAGCTGCCTAGATACTGGCAACGAAACGACCTTAGGCCGACTCGACACCATCAAAAGCAATATGAAGAGAGTTTACCCTTGGTTAAAGCTATGTTTGTGTCAACGCGCTTCATTCGACAATGCGCGAGGAAATAGCGCCGCCCTTGTCTGAACAGGCAAGACCCGACTCCATCCAGTGTGAGCTTTTTGTTCAGCGGCTGCTCTTCGTGAAAAGGTCTCAGGACAGGTAGGAAAATGTGACCAGCTTTAGACTGATGAATTCCTTGACCACGTCGATAAGAAACCGACAAAAGTGACGTGGCAACAACAATCGCGTGAGACCGACTGACTCACAGCGAAGACGCGCGAAGCTGCTAACTCACGTATTCACGTCAGCTGGGATCGCTTAATTTGCACGAGGTAGGAGCCGAGAGTCTTCGGAGCTTACAATACTTTATCGAAAAGGCCACGCGACGCTAGTCGCATGGAGGTTCAGGAACACCGAAATGTACGATGGTAGCCCTTCGAGCTAGCGCTTTCATCACGAACACCACCCTCAAGCGAGTGAGTACAAGTTCTTTACATAGCTCACACAACACTGTGCAGCATGTTAAAGGTCCACCCTCCGCGGCTTCCGCTACATAATACGCTAAGGCTCCATGAACACGACCCCGGAACTCAACACGCTACATAATATGATGCACTACGCGACCTGATGGGACCCATCGCATCCCAAGACTCGCCGACCAGCTCTTGACGTTGCCGTCGAAGCAAGACGCTGCTCATATTGACAATGCCACGTCAAATGCTCATTGCCGATCAAACGGGTATCACTCGAAGCGCTACACGTCAATATGTCAGAGCACACTTCCATCACGTCTCCAGAGCTACTAAATGATGCTCGACCGTTAATGGCCGAAAAGGTCTGGAACAATTACTGTCACGTAGCCCAGCAAGCAGCTTACACAAGATTCAGTGTTTCACTTGCTTTACACTCAAAACGCTTGGTCATCACTGATACGAAAGTGCTCGCAAGACCTTGTATCTTGTTGTCAAGGCTCCGAAAATCGCTTCTGGACGACCAGACTCATACTGCACGACCATTCGTGCACCTCTCTCTCTCAACCCCGAAATAAAATACCGTAAGAAACAAAAAACCAATCCTCCAGTTCATTCCAACCTCCCGGAATGGCTACATCATACCAAGCACAACAGCGTGCAATCCCTCGAGTGCACCACACCAACCAATACCCGCGGGTGGCCAGCACGTCGCCAACACCTCCCCAACCTCTTCCTCTCTCTCGCCATCTCTCTCTCCCTCTCCCTCCCTCTCCCTGCCCCTCTCTCTCTATCCGTTCGTCCGTCCGTCCGTCATGCGTCCAATCCTCCTCAAGGGCCACTCCCGGTCGCTCACCATGATCAAGTACAACCGCGAAGGCGACCTGCTCTTCTCCTGTGCCAAGGACCATACGCCCAATCTCTGGTACAGCGACACGGGCGAGCGCCTGGGCACGTACGTGGGTCACTCGGGTGCAGTCTGGGCCTGTGACGTGAGCTACCACTCGGAGCGTCTCTTAACAGCTGCAGCCGATGCGAGCGTCAAGCTCTGGGACGTGGAGACAGGTGACGAGCTCTTCTCGTTCCCGCATTCGGGGCCAGCTCGGAGCGTCCAGTTCAGCACGGGCGACCGCTACTTTGTATCGGTAGCTGACAAGTTCTCGGACCGTCCAGCTGCTGTGTTTGTCTACGAGCTGGCTGAAGACGTGAGCCAGCAGAGTGCCGAACCGGTGCTGACGATCACGGACCACGGCCACGAAGGCCGCATCACTGGCGCCTACTGGATGCCGCTGAACAAGGCGATCTTGACCACGGGTGGAGACGGCACGGTGAAGCTCTTTGACCCCAAGACAGGAGCTTTGCTGGAGACTCATGAGGTGCATGTGGGTGAGATCACGAACTTGACGTTCAACAAGTCAAAGACACTTGCAATTACGTCGTCCAAGGACAATACAGCCAAGCTGCTGGATGTCGAGACGATGAAGGTGCTCAAGGTGTACGAGACGGACCGACCGGTGAACTCGGCAGCGATTTCACCTATTAAGGAGCACGTGGTGCTTGGTGGAGGACAAGAAGCTATTAGTGTCACCACGACGTCGGGTCGGGTCGGCAAGTTTGAAGCGCGGTTCTTCCACATGGTCTTTCAGGAAGAGTTCGGACGGGTGAAGGGTCACTTTGGACCAATCAACACGATTGCGTTTCATCCAAATGGCAAGAGCTATGCGTCTGGAGCTGAGGACGGGTATGTGCGACTTCACCACTTTGATACCGACTACCTCAAGCTCGATGTCAAGAAGTGAGAAGGCACAAGAATACGACAGGTGCACTGGCGTGGCAGCTGAACCAGTTTGATGCAACGGCGAATAGTAGCTTCTTGGTCTTCGTTTCGGGTGTCGAGTACGTCGAGAGTTGCAGTACGAGAAGCTATACCAGAGACAGTGCTTACAGAATAAAGGTGTCCGTCAGCCATCGTAGGTAGCTTTACATTGAATGTAGTAGCCAATGACTTGTCTGTTATCGAAGCTGTATCAGATTATGTGATCGTTGGTAGGTACACGACCTAGTGTGATAGAGCTTCCAACCTGCAGTCGGACGAGTCAGAGCTTGGAAGTGATGGTAGTTGCTGTTTGCTCGTACCAGTGAAAATGACGACTATCAGATTCTCTTCAGAAGTGATAGCCGTTGCTTGAAGATCAAGTCGAGAACAACACAGTGACGACTTGCACCAATGGTCAGACGTATCGTCGAATCTGAAATGGGGTCGATTCTTCCGCTGCATACGGACCACAATCTAGTGTTCCAGTCAGGGTTTCCAATGTTGTTCTGCTGCTTCCTGATAAATTGTCGATGATGACCGTGCCAATCGCATCTATGAAGCTGAGCTGGTTGCTGCGCTTTACATCAGGAGGCATCGATCATGTCCCGGACGCCACAAATACTCCGCACTTTGCTTTCAGGAAGGCTACGTCTTGATAAAGAACGCATGGCAAGACGACGTAGTGGTACTTGAGTTCTTCAACAAGAGCTCCTCGTCTCAAAAGTAGTTGCTGGTCGTTTCGGTCCATACTTACAGTTGCATCGGCGTCGAGCGGGGACGTTGCATAAGAACTTAGACTTGTAGTCACGAGTCGATGGAAATTGTAGCGCTTGCTACTTTACGATCCAGGCGAGGCACAGACGCCCATGCGAATCCGGCCGCGGCCGTGTCAGCGCCTTTGCTTTTATCCTACAGCTTCGCGTTATGCTACGTATGACTCACAGTACGAGTGCGGTCGAAACTCGCAACGTTGAAGCGGTATTTATACGCCATGTTGATGTACCCTGCTGTCTACCGTCGCTAGCAACGTGTAGCGTACCGAATACGACGCTGTCTTCATACAGTTGGTGAACGCGCCGAAGTGACGAAAGACTTCTACATTGCTTCCTCTGTGATGATTGAGCTCATAAAGAGGAGCAATTAGAAAGCAACCACGTTCAAAGTCTGGCGTGGCGCAAACTCGTGCTGCACAGGTCTCTACGCTCGTAGGCTTGTGATTGTTTCTAGCAACGTCTAGAACGATAGCGTTTGGTGCTACGTACGAGCAATGATCTGCAGAGTTCCGTCCACTCCGCTCACGTTTTTGGTACTGAATGAAGCTTCGCATCGAGCGAAGCGGGAGACAGTGCGAGGCCGATGGGAGCAGTAATCGTTTTATCTGCGACCGTGTGTGGACGTTGCGATCGTATTGTGGTCAAGTGCAGTTCCAGCTTTCCGATGCAACAGATGCTTGCAGCTTGATGTCGTTTTCAAGCAGCACCAATGCCATATCGACACGATACCAAACAACTCAAAAAGCGTTTATCCAAGCACTTCTTCTAGTTCATGGTCCTGGCGCACCACGTTGTTTCAGTCCACATTAGAGGAGACACGTTCGACGATCGTCACATCAGCCTCAAATGCTGAAGATCAATCGCGCTGGAGGAGTGCGGGAAACAGTGCGAGCTGCAGTGTAAACAAACTGATAAATGATTACGACGGGTACATCGTGCGACGCTGCACGGCACTACCACCGACTCTTGCACGACTTTACAGTTCGTGTCGATGCATTGAAGCTTGTGTGCAACACGTTCCACACGTCGTAATCAACTCAATGCGGAACTTCAATTATATGCGAAAAGCGTCCCTGAGTCCGCCGGCTCCATAGGCTTGGTGGAGATTTAATTTTATAGGAGATGGCCGAGTTATGAGATATGTGGATTTCTAAATTCTCGATTTTTTTCTTTTTGTGAAAAGAAAAATTCAGTAAATGATCAGATTCTCCTTCTAAATCTCATATAAACATGTCCCGAGTGCTGTCACCGATGTACAAAGACTCGAGATTTGTTACGACAAGGCCCAGTAAAATAACAAAAATCAGCTAGAGTGTGCTAACGTTGGAGTCCAGATCACCGAGTATGCCATCTCTCTGAATAATAAGGAACGCACGGATCGAGAATGTAAGACAAATTACGAACTTTTTGCCACAAGCCAGAAATTCGTTCATGAATCAAAATCGGGGAAGATCTGTAAACTTGAGCGCCTTAGTGCCAAGCAAGGAAAAATTAACTTAATAAAGTATCCATTGAGGTCAAGCTTTTTGTTTGATGAACGCTTTAGCCTACCTGAAGACACCATTAATTTCTTAGTGGAGAGTCAAAACGTCAGCAGCATTTGAGCATGCTACATAGCATCAGAATTTAGGCGAGAGGGGTTCAGCAAATGAGAAGTATGTTGTTGTAGCATTGCCTGGACTTTGGGCCGTGAGCCTAAAGATTTTTTTTTTAAATGGACAAAACTAATCTTTGAGGATCAAGAAAGCATAATTTAGACTGATCATGTACAATAACGAAAATGATTTAGGCCTATTTATATCATGAATTAGAGAAGACAGTTGCGCAGAAAGAGATTGAAGATCATAAGTAATAGAAGGTCAGAGTTGATTTTTCTCATAAAAAACGTTGTAGAGCTTGATTATCTTCAGTTCAAGACCAGTTCACTTACTTTTTTTTTCTTTATTTACGGATCTCCATCGCCTTCACGACCAATGCGGATAGTACATTCATACGTCCATCCGTACGGCTACCACCATCCAGACACCTAGTCCCCCTCTATTTGTGCATTATCTTTACAGAAATAAGAAGTCCGATACTCAGGAGTATTCTCGTTTGAATAAATGTCCCTCGGAAAGCTCATAAATTCAGGTAGTTACGAGTTACGAGCTGCGAGTTAGCGACCATGGAACGAGCATGGTGGAATGCAATTTGTATGAGTTATATAAAGTATGAGCTATGAGGATATGCGTTATTTGAAGAATGGCTCCATTCATAAGGTGTTATCATAAATATAAAAACAAAGAGTCTAAAGATACACGATATGTACGACAGCGCTAAAAAAAAAGGATTAGACTACTTAAAATAAAGACATAGCGCGCAAGATTGGAAAAAAGTTATAAAGAGGCATGAGGATTGACGATTGCACGTAGGATATGCAATCTTTGCTTACATCTCTTTTCTGAAAAATAGGGGTGGTACTATTTACTTGCCGCCAGTAGCCAACTGTATAAAGGCATCAGTGGGGATCCGCAGGCGTTACGCTGCGTCTTTATGCGGGCCAAAGCAACCAGACCGAACCTACTCGGTTATACGTGCTGCCCTGTCACACCACAGAGTGTTGTCTTTGACCAATATTACCGAGCTAGCGTGCCTACCCGCGTATGGCAGCCGATCAAATACTACAAAGCTACAGAGTCACTTAAACTTTATGCGTAAACCTTGCCCACATAGTTGGCGTATACACCTTCGTTTTTCAAATACGCTTGCATCATCATAGCAGTAGCTTTTCTACTGGAGGCCATGGCCTTATCTCTGACCGCAGCATTTACACTGTGTTGGAGAGATGCTGTGTGTGAAAACAAATTGCACAGCTTCCAGTTAAGCTCAATTGGTTTGAAAGATGTGGGTGTTCAGCTTACCACTTGAGCTCGAAAAGCTTCTGGTTTCATACTGCTCGTCGTCGCTTTTTGTACGGTAAAGTCGAATTCACAAAATAACAGATACAATGTAATGTGGACATCAAGAGAGAGCGATACCAGGACGCTATTGGGAGGCCGACCGATTGTCGTCTCGACAGCAGACGACGAAAATGGTTTAGACTTACAAACCCGCAGTTATGTACGCGAGTATCCAGCATAAAAACTGGTCGCAATAGTGCTGTATTCCTGCTATAGTCGATCTACTTGCTTTTACAGTGCGATATTACTTGCATCGTAGAGCATCTGTACCTGTCGCTAAGGTACATGCTAGTCAACTATCCTCTCGGTGACAAATGAAGTGATCAACTGACACAATTATATCGATGTGACGATATCAGACCACTGCGTATGCTGAAATTGTTGAATGTCGTTACGACAAACTTGTGTAGGACTCAACGACGTAATCTTTGTTACAGAATGAGATCCCAGGCCACTGCATGCTCGTACGTATAATATACATTTTTGGCTTTATTTTAATTTTTACATTTGGTAATAACCTTTTTATTGGGCAATTGCATACAAGCTTGATAACTTGATATTGTGGCACTATTTACTATCACGCTATATTTTATAAATCATTTAAAAACTAAGGATAAATCGTTTAAATCATGACTAACAAAGATCAGTACTACGCGATCGCAGCCTGTATTCGAAAGCGTAGGCTGATGTAGAATTCGACATCTCATATTGCGATTGCTTGTCGATACCGGCTTCTAGAGCACGAAGCGTCGATAAAGCATGAAAAACAATGCGCGATCAACGTACCAATTGACCGACTGTAGTCGCAATTGCAAAAGTATGACCTAGTGAATGACCACATCCAGACCGAGCCAATTGACAACCACTTCTTGTCTCAGCGTTCGGACACACATACCGTAAAGACACCAACCCATTTCTACTAGAAAGTACATTGCCGTTATTGTTTCGTTTGCGCTCATGCTCGGTCGAGCTCCGCTGCTATACAATCTATATCTCCTTGGTCCACTCTATTGCGTCGGTGCCCCACACAGTCACAGTCGGCGATTCAATACTTTTTCGACACAGATCCCCAGTTTTTCTTCCCGCTTATTACAACATAACCTAGTTTCCCGCGGACGGATGTGTGGACTAAACCCTTGGCACAATCACTTCTGTGGAGACATCTCTTTACAGCCTTACCAGGCAAGTCCGTTCATAAAGACCACACGCGACTAGCTTGTGTATACGATGCCCAGCCCGGCGGCAGAACTTCGTACGAGACCGGCAGCAAGTCGGCGCGGTGGTTGTGTGCGCCATTTTGGCGTTGATCCTTTTCTTCGCTGTCTGTAGGATAGAGGACAGGATACACAGTTGTGAACCACGGTAGCAGTGTTCACGAAATGCACTATGGGGCAGCAGTGTTTGCCGATGTATACACCCACAGAAGACGCATTTTACACTTCATGTTACAATGCCGCAACCGCAGTAAGCGTCCGGGCTCGTGCAACTCTCGAGTCAAGTGGTACGGTACTCGCTACGTCCGACTTGCAACCTCTACTAGTACAGAGGCTTTGCGCCGATCCAAGCGATGCGATGACGGCAACTCGCAGGTAACCGTCGCAACAAACTGTACCCGGTTCTACTCTAACATCAGGCGTACTGCGTAGAATTCTCTTGGTGTCCATCTCAACAACTCTCTCTTGCCCGCTTCACACGAACATGTGTTGGCCCCGACTACTCCCTACACACCCTATCTTACAGACGGCCCTTGTTGCGAGGTCGCAGCAAGAGCCGTTGCAGCACCACCATTCGTTTTTCTTGCTATGCTCGATATCGACCAACGGCACTTCGTGCAGACGCCGGCGTTGATGCCACATCGCAAAGCACGATGGCAGATGTCGGCACTCACATCGCAGAGCACAATGACAGATGATCACGTGGCAACGCACTAAACGGCTGCTTCGCAGCTCCCTATTGACATCGAAGGCTGGTGATGGAAAGAATGCGGTCAGACAAAATGAGACTGGGGAAGACTTCGTTGTGGTATCGCATTTTTTGGCGCAAACACAGGCCGTAATCAGCATCCCGGCGGTAGTATACTTGGGACGCTACGACAGCCTGGTATTTGGCACTAGTATCAAATTATGCAGGTTTCATCGATCATGTGGTATACACCGTCCTATCGTTTGTGGTCCAGGAAGCGTAATCAGCACGACGTTACGTCTCTGCGACACGCTACGGCCGAATTCTTTGGCCTACAAGCTTGCACATACTGGACGCTAGATTGTGGTATACTCGGTGCCAAATCGTAGTATACTCGACGCCAAATTGTGGTAAACTTGACGCCTGCAGCCTCGGATTCAGCACAAGCTGGCGGCTGCGCTATCGCAAAATGACATTCTTGCCAGTGATCTGCTCGGCTCAGCTTCTTGGCCATCCGATTGATGCGGACGTCAATCTTGACTGACCTCAGCCCTTCTCAGCTGGCATCTGCCAACAACACATGGCCCGTTTACCATTAGTCCGCAATGTATAAATACCCTGCTATCTACCTCTCGATTGTTCGTCCGTTTTACGTCATCAAACATCAGCCGTGTCTCATAACTCGCTTGCCATGCAGTCGACATCTATTCTATTTTACGTGCGTCACACAGATCGAGTCGGCCGTAGCGTCCGAAGCGCTCACTCTTGAATTTGCGCCAAGCAAGACAGTTCGTTGCCACCTCCGCCTCTTTCAGACCTAGTAATCCTCCCACGCGATCATCAATCGACCAGCATGACCTTTGAAAGCACTGTCGAAATCACACGCGGCAGCGTCGAGACGAAACATGGCGCACCTCAACTGGACAACCCCGTCCCGGACTCGCTATCACCGCTGACGTTTTCGATTCCAGCGCCAATAGCGACTGTACGTGCCAACATCCAGGCGTTCGAAGAGGACAGCTTGCACAAGCTGCTGCAGCGCTACGAGGGTGCGGACGTGCTGCCGAATGGCTGGCGAGATGGTCCTCATAGCAAGGGCATCCAGGTTGTCTACGGAGAGGTCGACGGCAGTGAGTGGTTCACAATGAAGACCACGGGCACGCTCCACGTTAGCGCTTCGAAGGCTGCAGCTATTCTCATGCGCTGCGACATGGTGCCCAAGTTTGACGACATGACTAAAGAGGTGAAGGCCATGGAGAAGCTCAGTGATGCGTCGGAGGTCCGTCGCGTGACCGCCAAGTCGGTCATGTTTACAGCCGCGCGCGACTTCTCGGTCGTGTCGACGTTCCGCGAAGAAGCGAGCGGTCGCCTCCTCATTGCCACCCGCTCGATCGAGTACGTGCCTGAACGCAAGGGCTACGTGCGCGCGACGATTCACATCTCTGGCTACGTTGTGACGCCGCATGCCACAGATTCCGACATGTGTGAGCTCAGCGTGGTAGCGCATATGGACTTGGGCGGGAGTTTGCCCGCGATGGTGGTGCGCTACCTGGGTCTGTCTGCACCCATAAAGCTGATTGAGAAGATTCAGGAGATCACCATGAAGGCGTAAGGTAGTGAGTAGCTTAGTATTCGAGCGCGCGCAGTGCCACAATGTGTACCAGTAGAAAGCTAGCCATCATCAATACTGTGCGTTTCCATTCAACTCGTTCTGTTGTTGCTCTTGTGACTACTGTCTGCGTGGTAGACCGATGATGATCATGTTGAGCTACACCATGTGGAATGCCGATCCGGTATACGCTGAAAGAAGTTGGCTGTACGAGAGACTGAATGACATCGTATACAAACGCAGCTGCCGAAGCCGCTACAAAGTCGCAGCATAGCCATGGCTATCCCCATCATGCAGCAGTGGTGTGCTGATCTTCGGCTTGAACAAGCCGCGGAGTAAGCAGGCCAGCTGCAGATCCGAGAGTGAGGCAAAGATGGGACTGCTTGTTTACAGCGGCCGCAATCATTAGTCCTGTGGTGGTATCTCTTTTACCACAGCCTCTACCGGCGGTAAAACGGCTCTTTTCGATTATGCCCTGCATCTATAAGCCGCGTGACGCCTGGAATGTCTGTCTACTGGGCTGCCAACGCAGTATACAAGCGCCACTTCGAGATAGCGGAAACTTGCACGCGTTTGAGCTTATAATATCAGGTGTATCTTGTCACCGGTTCGCGCTCGATTTTCCATTTTATCCGACTCCGACCATTAGGCGGACGAGCGACAGCTTCAATGGGAAGAAGGCATCTCGACAGCACGTGGTCTTTGCTTCGTGTGCACTCAGCAAACCTAAATCATGACGCTGCACTGATTGATGAAGCATAATTTAGACTTCTTTGCTACTAGCGCTTTTACGCGTTTGGGTTCGTATCCCGTGCTGGGCATGTTCCAGGCGTCATTCTGACAACCGTTTGATCAGCTCGCTGCTCTAAATTCATTTGACATACAAATTCAGGTTGAACCCATGTATTGATTCTCGTCCTTGTGCTTTTCTTCTGACTCGAAACCCTTGTCCAAACGACACCTGCACGACCGACTCTATTCCGAAAACAAGGGTGGGGTCACGCATCTTGTAGGCAATGACTCGTCGAGAATGCCGCGAGGAAGCTTTTCTACAATATCTTGTGGTTGTGGCAAAACGTGCAGCAAAGTAAAAGGTAACTTGCACGATGCTGTGAAACGATATTGACAATACAGGATACATGCGGTCGACGGTATCGAAATGGAGCGAGCGATTGTCATAATGCGCAGGGTAGTGCCAATGGCTCCTGTCGCACGCAAAAACAAGTCAAGAAAAAAAGGAACGCGGAACACTTGTTCTCCACTGAGCAACTTTGAAATTGAGGAAGGGAGATCTCGAAGGTGACAAATTTGTAGATGAAAGCGGCAGTTTGTTTTAGGCAATGAGCTGAGCTATCATCGTGTCGCGAACGAGTTACAGGGGAACGGCTGGTTGATTCGAGACGTCGCTTCATCGTGAAAAGCATGACACACAAACACACCTTCTTTTGACAAGTTCTCAACTTACGTTGCTGTACGATGCGATGCAGTTCGATAATTAGGTGACTATATAGATAGACAGACATATTTACGAAGCTTAGTAAATTCGCGCAATCCACATCTCGTATTCAGCGGAGAAGACGTCCCGACTTCCTCAATGTCATTGCACAAGTCGGTCTCATGACCCCCTCCGCAACACGATACATCTTCACTATCCTTGTGTCTACCATGAAGCTAATGAGACCCCGAACGTAACGGGGCACCCTTCGTTTGGGTGCTACGAAACTTCACGTACACTAGCACGTGCAGAGGAAGCTAACTACTTGAACGACTCGGTCAAGTAAAGGTTAAAAGAGAACTGTATTTAATATAGTTAAGCTATCAATACAACTTTAATCTTTAGCTACATTAAACTACGTCGTCGTATGACGACAACCTGCTCACCACTCATCGCGTGCGTCTAGCAGCGATTAATGGCAATTATGGTTGATATGTCTTTTATCAACCAATCTTTGAGCAGCGCATGAATATTATCCATAGAGGGGATAATATTCCTTCAATATTATCTATCCTGGATAATATTGGTAGGGTATTGTCATGCTAGACACTATCTCTATTGACACCGTTTGTTGTCAAAATCATGTGACGGGCCACACCGATACATCTCCCCCCACTTAACCATCAATTACCCGTTGATTGCATCAAAATTAATTGGGACAGGGTAGCCACCGTTGGATAACTCTGGGAAAGGGAGCACTTGTTGGTCAATTCCGTTTATTTGCCAATCCAACGCATGTTTTGAAATTCAAGCGAGTTGCCACTGCAGCAGCAAGAAAGGCGGCTGCACGCATACGTGCAGCCGGAGAGAGTACTTCTCACACCTCAGCAGCACGTTATTCGTCGCCTGCTGCTGTGAACAGTCCACGTGATGAGTCACCACGTGCGACAGGTACATCCGCTGCGTCTGCAGCGGGTACCGCGAATCGTAACCCGGATGAGTCTGATGTATAGCTCATCTGTTCTGGTGAGTCGGATGATGTATCCGACTCGAAGGTGACATTTCACGCCTCCGGATCACCCGTGGCGGACACTGCAAAAGTTAGATTAACTGGCTCTGGTCAACGTGGCGGCGTCATGCTGAAGATCTTCGGATCAAGTGATTGTTTCGACGAATCCTCGCCTCACGCAAGTCCATCCGACGATAGGACGTGTGGTGATCGTGTTAATGCCCCTAAACGTCACCAAGAGAGAACCAACTCGAGGGATCAAGCTGCCACTGGTGTCAGTGCTCATGCTAACACCACTCAAGAGACCAGGGACCGCAATGTCCTGCGACATGCTTCTCTCGTAAAGTCTCTTGAAAAACCATTATCCAAGGAGTTAGATCAATGGGCTGGCACGACACCGAACGAGATCGACCCGTTGTTCGATTGTAGGAAGATTTGCCCAAAAAGTTCCAGCACGGAAACTATTTGTGCTGAGGAAGAATTCATCACCGATGCATTTTTTCAAACATCGATGGTACAATGGCAGCCGCGTTCGAGACGGTAAGGCCTTGGTGCAAGGATGGAATGCCCTCATCCATAACATCGAGTGTATTGACCGTGGGGCCTGGATTGGTAAACTTGATGCAGCTCGCATGAAGTTTGAGAAGCGCAACCCAGTCGGGGTGCGATACAAGTTCTACTGGCTGTCAATAGAGGCATGATTTCCCTGTCTCTCGTGTGGTGATTTGTGTCTAAGTTGCCTAGACAACGCGAACCGTGCCCCTAGTTAGGCCTAAATCCCTAATGATCCCTACTGAAGGGCGCGCATCTATTCTGAGATGGCCGAAGGAATTGACACTTTGTAGTCCCTTTACTCGCTTCTAAGGAGGTCATTTTCCGACGTCCCTTCTTCGAAAGCAGCGGGTGGGGCTAGTCATTTGCTCAACGAGACCCAGGACATCAACAATTATCTGAACACGAGTCTCTTAGCTGTCCGAGGCCGGTGGATAGCCACGCCAACGGACGAGGTAACTCGTCCTGACGCCATTCACATTATGGTGATTCAAAATACGCTCCATCAGAAAGCATTAACCACCGCCAGAGTCCACCAAAGAATGTGGTGGTGGCGGGAACACCTGATCCGGCTCGAGGGTCGGATCAGCTTGATGCTCAAGAGCTGAACCGTGGAAAGAACAGTTACAAGATGACCTGGCTCATGAACGATCTCGGCGTTATCGGCTTGAGGATCTTGTAAAGAATAATTACAATTTCTAAGCGCACGATCATTCGAACAATTATACCGCGTTTGCGTTTGCGCAACTTGAGAGCGAAGGTTCGATAAATTCCCTTCGTGACAAGCTGACTGCAGCTCATCAAGACATCGCTCAGCTGCGTGAGCAGGTCGCTTTGTTAGTTGACCGGACTGGCTCGTTGAAACAGGACCACTCGAAGGTGTTCTCGGCCCTTGACCACGGAGGTGTTCTTCGCATTTCAAAACGGGCTCGTACTGATAGTACAGGCGGAGAAGTCCAAAGAAAAACGTAGGATGCGTTGCATCTTACGGGGCAGTTCAATCGTGTATGGGTTGCCCATTCGGCACAACACACGAAATGGACCGATGTACTTGGGCAGCAATTTACTGCTGCCCACGTTCGTCACTGCGTGTTTCGGTAGGTTTACTAAAGACTGTAAAACTAGGTTTTCTTCATCAAATTAAAGAACATTTGATCTTCCATGTTTGTCTGAGTTAATTTTCTATTTGGCTATTGCGTCTGCGATAGAGTCTGGAACGAAGAGGACAACCTCTTCGCGAGTTAGCAAAAAAGCCTCTGCTATTTCATCCTTTTTAACAGCAATGCGCTCTGTGCGCGCTGCTTAAAGAACGTTGTCTTCATCAGTGAGGGCGTCACCTTCCTCACTGTAGCAGTCGTTGGAGATGATTCATGTACCAGCATTGTCATCATCATTAATGTTGATGTGATCGACATCGGCATACATCACGTCGACATCATTGTCGACGTGTGCTGAGCAAGAACCAAAACGGTTTTTTTCGATCGAGTACACCCCGCCCCATTACTAGAGTAACTAAGAAGGCGGATAAATTGGATGGCCTCGGCCATTCACAAAGAACGGTGCATGCGTTGAAGACGCGTGCACCGAGTTGTTGATGGCGAATTCCGCCAGAGGCAAGAACTCACCCCAACTCGTAAACGAGTGGACATACCCTCGAAGTATCTCTTCAAGGACGCGGTTAGCGAGTTCCGTCTGACCATCTGCTTCTGGATGGTCAGAAGTTGACATTGTCGAACGTGTTCCAAGTGAACGGAACACTGATTGCCAAGACTCCGCTGTGAAGCGGGGGTCCCTATCGGACACGAGTTCACGAGGTAACCCGTGAAGTCGGAAGATAGTATCGATGAAGACACGCGCACAGCCCTGGGATGTGATTGACTCCGGTACAGGAACAAGATGTACCACCTTGCTGAATTGATCAATAAACACAAGAATACCAGTATTCTTGTAAACGTCTTTGAGAAACCCGAAGACGAAGTTTATCGAAACGGACTGCCAACACTCTGCCGGAATCGGAAGAGGCTGCAAAGGTGCGCGGGATGAAAGACTAGGCTTCACCCGTTGACAAACTTCGCAAGCGCGAATGTATTTGCGCACAAACTCATACTGGCGGGGCCAGTAGAAGTTACTACTAACCATAAGGTAAGTCTTTTCTCTGCCGCGATGCTTACTTGTTGGGGCATCGTTACACTCATACATGATGTGCAATCGCAAATCATCATGAGCGGGAACGACGACACGAGGTGTGTCGCCTTTGACTGTTGCACAGTACAGCAGTCCATCACGAACAGATAACCGTTCGGTTGAAGAGCGGTATTGAGACGACAAGCTTTTCAAAGCTTGACTGCATGGATTGGCTACATAATACATTCATCGCAGAAGAGACTCACCTTCTGCGTATTCTCTTCGCACGTCGTTGAGCAGATTCGACGACAGAAAAATCACTGTTAGTGTCGCTAGAGTGGGATCACCCCTACTGTTGTGTTGGGCAGTCGGCTCGAAATCGGGCCAACGCAAAAGAGCATCAGAGACTACATTATGTCGTCCTGGTTTACACTCGACGGAGAAGTTGTACCCCGCGAAGAAATACAGCCACCTCGCCATTCGTTTCGAGAGGTGAGGACTGTTTACGGCCGTGCGTATCGAAGCGTGGTCGGTATAAACGATGAAGGGCCTATCTCCTAAGAGACAAACCCGAAACTTAGCCAGTGCATATTTATGGCAAGGCGTTCCTTTTCATGCACCAGATAATTAGCTCAGCTGCTTGCAGCTGACGCAATTGATAACAGACGACGCGCTCAACGCCGTCTGAGTCGTACTGCACTAACGCGCAGCCGATTGCAAAATCGCTGGCGTCACAGACCACATGAAATGTCCAATTCTGATCTGCAATTGCCAACACAGGCGATTGCACCAAGCTTTTCGTGATGCCTTCAAAAGAGTGCTGACACTCAGCGCATGACCACCTCTCGATTTTCTTTAGCAGACGAGAGAGATGTACGGTCATCTCGGCATAGTTGCGCGAGTATTTGCGCAAGTACGCCGCCAAGCCAAGGAACTTTCGAAGTCGCTGCGGCACAGGCAGTCGCTAATCGCCTTGGTACTTTCTGGATCAGGGCGTACACAGTTTTACCCACGATGCAGCCAAGAAGTGGTATTTCGTTCGCAGCGAATATACACATCTTGAGGTTCGCGAACAACTTATGCTCTTGCATTAGAGTAAGAACCTTCCGGACGTGGATTCTATGAACCTCCACGTCCGTCTTTCCATCCATAATCTGGCTATGGACGAAGGCACCGTCGCAGTAACTCGGTGCGAAATCGCGTACCGATCGCGACAGATTCGTAACACATCTGTTGAACGTTGCGGGAGAGTTACGTAGTCCCTGCGGCATCACTAGCCACTCCCAGAGCATACCACTGGGGTGCTCACTGCTGTGTATGGGATATCCCGTTCACGCATGAGGATCTAATAGAAGCCATTCATCAGATACGTGGACGAAAAGATGGTACTCTTTGCCATAACATCTATAATTACTTCCTTCCTTGGTATCGGCGTCTGAGCCGGTACCGTTGCAGCATTAAATTTGTTGAGCGCGTGCACTATCCGCTACCCTTTTGTGGCCTTTCGCACACAGAAGGTCGGAGAGCTGTGTGGGGATGTCGATCCCCTCACATGATCAGCCGCTAATCGATCGGCAAAGAGTTTGTCGATCGCTGTTACCTGTTCACGAGGCAGTGGCCACTGCTTCATGACACAGTATTTCGAACCAGGTTTCAATTCAATCTCATGCAGAGTGCCTTTGTCTTTGGGCAGCTCGCAGAGCACGGATTCCGGAAAAAATCCCTGAATTTCACCAAATTCTTATACAAAGAATTTGTCTTTAGAGGCTCCCAAGGTTGAGACGTGTATCGCTCAATCCGGTGTTCTCATAGAGGACACTCTCGTCCATAGATGAGCTACTGAGAACCCGCTCGTTCTCAGCAAACACTTGTGCCGACCGAATATGGGCAACGTACTCGTCCTCCGTGACGAGTACTCAGATCTGCTTGATCTTGTCACTACGCAGATCTCGCAAGAACCTTTTTAGATTCTAGCGTTGGCAACTTGACTACCTCCGAAGCTGACTTCGGGGGCGTAACCAGATCAAGTTTTTAAGCGCCTACACTTGATCCGACATTCACCAAGACATTCAATGACTCATCAATTTCCTGGAAAACACATCCGCAGGTGGTTGGGGATCCACACCCTCAACATAACACTCTCGGGAGTTATCACTCTCAGGAACGCTGGAACTTTCTTCCAATACGTGTACTGACTGTGGGTGTACTACCACAGTCACGTCCTCTTCGATTGACTCTCTTTCAGTCGATCGGGTTTGCTCCACGTCGACTCTCTGTTTGTCGATCTCCTTCAGCGTGTTGTCCATCCTGAGCAACACTAATCTATCTTCTTAAATGCACCCTTCTTGGTGTGCATCCGTGTTCCAGTCCACTTGATCTCTTCGAGTGGTGAACCTTCGGCGCAGCCTGTGTCTCTCCACAGGTACCGGAAGCTGGTTCCACAGTGTTGTGGCCTTCTACACTGTGATCTTGTGCATTCATACTAACGACCATGCTACAAATGAGGCTATTGCACCCGCTCGTAGTACATCCGACCGCCTGTGGACGCTCCAAGACGTTCGTCAGATGGCCATCCGATGAACAAACGGCAGGCATCTTCACGGATCGATGCTACCAGCCAACCCATGGCTGGTACTTTCTAAGCCATGGCAGACCAAGGATGACATCAAATTTGTCATTCAATTCCAGTACGATAAAGTCATCATCGTACTGCTTTCCTTCTAGCGCGTAGTGAATTCCCACAACACGTTTGTTCACTGTTACGGATGCGCCTTTAGAAAGGCACACCGTCATCCTTGTTGGAGAGAACACTCGCTCAACACGGTTGAGCCTACTCTCCCTTAGCAACTGGCGTCGAATAAATCTGTTCGTCGCCCCGCAGTCAAGTAGGGCGCGAAGTGACATTCCACTTGTCACTTCGATCTTCTGAATAGGATCAGTAACACACAGCGACTCTGTGTGGAAGCAATCTTCGTTAAGAGTCCTGCAAATTCTCTTGACGTTGCTTGGTCAGCAGGTTGCTCCGCCCCTACTGCCCCTGTCCGTTTTCAACGGTCCGACTTGCTGTCGCGGCTTGGCGACATGGTCGGACCCACGCCTTGGACCCTTACTTGGCCAACGGTGGTCATCACGTCCTGTCTTTGGACGTGTTGCCGTGCTCGGGACACTACACTCATGAGCGTGGTGTTCAATCTTCTGACAGCGATGGCATCTTGCCGTTCGCTTATGACTCAGAGAGCGAGAGTTCTCGCTCTAGGTATAAAAGAGGTCCATCGGTTCGGGACGTCTTGTTTCCTGTCGTCTCGTCGGACGATAGTTTGACGAGTTAGACTGAGACTGTCTCAGGCCCTAACTCTTCTTGTTCCGCATACGGTATCGCCCTTTTCAGCGTATGGAAGTCCTCTCGGGAACATGTAGGTCTCACTGGTCCATTTACAATGCCGTAGATGAACACGTTGATGAGTGTGTGCTCATCAAAAGGGTTTTCAGTGACGCTACTCACAAGGTAGCGTAGGTGTTGTGCGTAAGCGTGCACGTCACGCTTACCTTGCTTAAGCCTCAGGAGTGCAGAGCGGACTCGGATCGTGGCGGCTCAAACGTCTCTTTAAGCTGAGACTTCAAGATCTCTAACGACTCGAACACGTTTGGGTCATGACGCTTGAGCCCTAAGGCCCAAGTCTTTGCTCGTCCCGTCAAATTTGACAGGGCGAAGGTGACTTGCATCTCGTCACCCTCAATGTGACGAGCCCTTTTGGCGTCGTCTAACTCGACGAACCATCTCAAAAGGAAATATCCATCGGTTCCCTTGTACCTTAAATTATCTATCTTTAAGGTTTCGGGTCGACGTGTGTGCGTCGTCCCGACAATCGACTGATGATAGCCTTGGTGTTGTAGCAAGGCTATCTTCTGTCTTCAATATCAAGTTCACCTTGTAGGAATTTGTTAATTGCAGCGTGCTGCTGGTCTCTGCTGAGAGACTCCAACATACCACTGATGGCGGGTTCGCCCATGAGCACACTCATGCGGCCGACAAACTCCCATTCTGAGTCACTCAGATGGGTGCAGTCTTCACGTGTGGCATGAAAGCTGTCGTCTTCTTTGTCCAACATGTTCATGTTGGACGGACACTAATTAGTCGTTGAACGGACTACAAAGTGCTACCAGGTGTAACGGGGCATCCTTTGTTTGGGGTGCTACGAAACTTCACGTACACTAGTACGTGCAGAGGAAGCTAACTACTTGAACGACTCGGTCAAGTAAAGGTTAAAAGAGAACTGTATTTAATATAGTTAAGCTATCAATACAATTTTAATCTTTAGCTACATTAAACTACGTCGTCAAGACGCACGCGATGAGTGGTGAGCAGGTTGTCGTCATACAACCTGCTCACCACTCATCGCGTGCGTCTAGCAGCGATTAATGGCAATTATGGTTGATATGTCTTATTTCAACCAATCCTTGAGCAGCGCATGAATATTATCCATAGAGGGGATAATATTCCTTCAATATTATCTATCCTGGATAATATTGGTAGGGTATTGTCACGCTAGACACTATCTCTATTGACACCGTTTGGTGTCAATAATATGTAACGGGCTACCCCGTTACAATAGATGTCGATGCAAACTGTAGGGTGATCTGGCCTTTCGCTTACCCACATTTAGCATTCGATAATTAGGACTAATCTACAGCTGGTACAATTTAAATGAAGAAAGGCAAAAACTTGCGTTCTTTAGGCAAACACTTTTGTGTTATTTGAGTATCCTTTTTTAAAGTCTCTCACCGAATCGAGCTGATGTCATCGACAGTTTTTGCACGGGCTGTGGTCGGAGCGCATGAAGTAGGATGCAAACCAAACCCGAGACTAATGAGGCCAGAAACAGTTGTGTGGGGTCTTCATGAGATACCAAGCCTAACTTTGACCTCCATCCTATACTGTTCACTTTAATTATGAAAGAAGACCGCTGTCGTTGAATGTGCTATCCAAGTCAAATCTCTCAGATACAATCAGCGTAGCGCATGCCCACAGAATCTGCGTCACGAGTTTCTTGCATCTCACGATTAAACAAGTCGTGTCAACCAACGATCGTATTCGTAGATTTCGCGAATATCGCTATCATGCACGGCGACAGCAGAACGAGCTTTTACGTACTGATAGTCCAGCTGACCTTGCAGGATGTAGTATGCTCTTCCGCTACAATATAGACCTAAGACCGTTCTCCTCTGCAATCCCTGTTAAACTTAAAAACCGTTCTCTCATGCACTATCAACGACCGTGGATTGTACAGTCTTGTGCGCACATGTTCCGTCCCGCGAATTTACCTCTCTCTCCCCTCCTCCCGACATCCACGGTTCAAAGTCGCGTATGTTCCAGCGATTGACCGTCCAGCTCCTGAACATCAGTTTCTCCTACAGCTTGAACTCGTCGGGCATCCGAATTTACGTAGCTACTGGACAACATATGTACAAACGCACGCGAAAAGTGCGCACGTCTATGTGCCTGTCGACATGTCCCACGTGACCAAATCGACTGGAGCTCCTCGGCCGACTCGTCCATTTCACTCATTGAGATGACGGCTCCGAGTATGGAGCCTGCGATTCAGCAGCTCCTGAACCAACATGAGTTCTTGGAGGTGATCGAAACCGGCCAAGACGAGAACAAGCGTGTGCGTGTGAAGTGCCAGTTGACGCAGCACGAGATGCTCCTGCGCGCTGACGTCATTGCGACGCACCTCGCGTCCAAGAAATTCCGAAAAGCTTGGGACTGGTACTGTCACGACTACTCGCAGTACGAGCCGTACATTGTCCCGTACCGGAGACTGCCCAAGAGTTTGTTCTGCAACGTTACGAGGACGATCTTGAACCGCATACCGGCAGAAGTGGAGAAGCACGTGCAGGGAAAACGGTACAAGCGGATGAAAGAGCGCGTGAAGGTTCAAGTGATCAAGACCGGAGACAACGGGGACGACGACCAGACGTTGTCGAGTCGGGACTTTGATGCCGACCTTTTCGAGTTTGAGAACAGTCAAGTGGTCTACTCGGACGAGGAGGAGGAGGAGGGAGATGAGGAAGACGAGGACGACGAGCTGGAGACAATTGAGAAAGCGAGTCTGCAGAAAGAGGACGACGACATGGCGGACTTTTACCCTGATGATGAGTCTAATGCAGGCAACGACACCAAAGCTATGGACACTGACACAAAGGCTGATGATGACACTGACGAGATTGTGGAGGAGAAGCCTCCGAAGAAGCGCCGTACTAAGAGCAGTTCAGGTTCTAAAACGACACGACACAGGTCGAAGAAGGCTAGAAAGGACAAGACTTGTGCATCGACGTGATAAAGTTAATACAACTTGAACGGACACAAGACGGTAGAAAGTGTGCGTCCAAGTGGTTCATAATTGGACGTTTGCAGGTTATAGCGTCGTCTCCGTGTGCGCTTCTTTCTCGTGCTACATGCGCTCCCTTGGCCAGATCTCATGCAACGGCCTCCTTCATCGCTGGCACCGAGTGCGTCACTTTGACGATATACGGCGTCGACTTGTGCGCTTGGTACGCCGGCTTCCCTTTTAGTCCAAAGCTCTCGAAAAGCATCTTGTCCTTTTCAAACGCCGGGTTGGCAGTCGTCAGCAGCGTGTCGCCGTTAAAGATCGAGTTGGCACCAGCCATGAACATCATCCCCTGCTCCGAGTCCGTGAACGACATGCGACCTGCACTCAGCCGCACCATAGTCTTGGGCATCACAATGCGTGCCGTTGCAATCATCCGCGCCATGTCCGACGCAGTGACAGGCGCCACGTCGTCGTCAAACAGCGGCGTGCCTTCCACTGACACCAAGGCATTAATGGGCACGGACTCGGGGTGTTCGTCCATTGTAGCCAGCGTATGCAAGAGCCCAATGCGGTCCACCTTCTCCTCGCCAAGCCCTAAGATCCCGCCGCAGCAGACGGAAATCCCGGCGCGACGCACGTTTGCAATGGTCTCGAGACGGTCATCGTACGTGCGCGTTGTCACGACTTTGGCATAATGCTCTCGACTCGTATCCAAGTTGTGGTTATAGGCAGACAGCCCCGCTTCCTTGAGCTGCACGGCCTGCTCTTCCGTGAGCATCCCGAGCGTGCAGCACACTTCAAGATCCAGGGCCTTGACTTGCCGCACCATGTTCAGAATGTGCTGAAAAGCGTTCTTCTTGCCCACTTCACGCCACGCAGAGCCCATGCAGAACCGGGTACTGCCAGCTGCTTTTGCACGTCGTGCCATCTCAACCACTTCGTCAACCTAAATCAGTACATTTAAAGTTCGAAACAGCTGGTTAGTTCAAGGGACGTTATCTCCATTCAGAAAAGTAAAACCTCATTTAAATGTGTGGTACACATAACACAAAAGTAGCAGCAACCGCTTGAGGGTTGTGTATACAGGTGTATACTCCCAGCCTAAAAACACATTAGCGCCCACCTTTTTCGTTGGCTCGGGCTTGACGAACGTCTTGTACCGAGACGACTGGGAGCAGTATCTGCAGTCTTCGGTACAGCCACCGGTTTTGATCGACAGCAGCGTGCACTGCTGCACTTCCGTCGGGTCAAAGTGCATGCGGTGCACCGTGGCGGCCTTGTATACGAGCTCCAGCAGCGGCTGGTCGTACACGCTCTGCACTTCCTCTTTCGTCCAGTCGTGACGCACGTCAGCAGACAGTCCGGGGATAGTGAGGGACACGGAGGACGACGCGCGGGACAAGTGGCGCCTGTGCGCGCGGGTGATGGACGACGACGTGAGCTGGCGGAGCATTGTGTATACACTCGGTGGAGCGCTGGATGTTAAATGGTGAGTATACACTCAGTGGATCGCTGTATGTTTGATTGTGAGGGGGCGGGTGTTGGGTATAGTAGGTTGAAAGATGATGCGGCGGGCGGACTTGGGTGCACTTTGGAAGAGAGTTTGACAAGCATGAAGTAGCGACTTGAAGTGGCAAACAGGAGCGATGTGATTCTGATTTTGTAGAGACGCGTCTAAACTAATAGTCGGATGACTTGATATTGTGTTTGCAATACTTGGATCGTGAGAGCGAGTGGCTATAGATAAAGTGTCGAGAGCGGATTGTGTTGTCGTTGGACTGCACACACCTTTTTATTGGCTGGATCTGATGTAGTCATACTGCTGGATGCTGTTGCAATGATTGATTCCAAGGTAGTTTTTGGAATCAAGCCCTATGTTTACATCTCTTTGCTATTTCATAATCTCATTTATTAATAAATAAAAGGAGCAGCAAGCCCTGTCTGTACATCTATTTGCTATTTCATAATCCGATTGCTTCACAGATAAAAGGAGTAGTACACAAAAGAGATAAACCTAAAAGCAAAAACATGTATCTACTTAGTTCAAGTAGCAGGTCGGTGCCACCATCGTCGTCAGTGTCGATATCGTCCTCGTCGTCTCTGTTCCGTCCGCATTTAAGAACCAACGTGTCACAAAGGATCCATCCAGCGTTTTACAAAATCTCCAGGGCCTCCTACTAGCATTCTTGTCACACTAACCTGTTCTTCATTTTTACATTTGATCGTTTCCGTGCATGTTGCTCAACAGGCGACGTATTGCTTTGCCTTAATCGTCAATAAAAATATTGGCTTCTTTCATAATTGCGAAGAATGCATAGTCGGGCGTTAGATGTAGGTGCTGGTAATTCACCACAATAATACCCCCCACCATCGTCAAGCGTCTCGTACGCGGCCGTCAGACATCGATGCCTCACCGAAACTGGTGCTGCTAAAGCTTGTGCTATGCCATAACGGACCCAAGAACGGCACGTTGAGCTCGAGTGTCGACTCCGCTTTTTGTTCTTTTGTCAACACGAGCACAAGCCTTGGTGGGCGATGCTTACGAACATGAGCTCTTTGCATGCTTCGTTAGCGCCGTCAATCAATACAATAAGTTGCGATTGCATATTCGCTGGACTCAACCGATTCGAGACAGGTAATGCTTAACATTCCAGAGATTTGCTCGAGTCACGCGAGCGATGTTGTGCCACAGATATATTTGGAATCAAGTATTCGGTGAAACGATCCAACCTCGATTTCGCGCTCGTTCCAATGTCTACGACATCGTACCCTTCACTCGTAACGAAAGCAAGTAGCAGTTACTGCTTTAACAGAATAGCTGTAGCGTTGTCCGATCGAACGGGTCCACGCCGAGATGTTATGGCCGAGGTATTGCAAAGAGCAATGATCGCTGCGTCAACCACTCTTCAACCCTTCACAAACGGGTGGACAAGCGCATCCTTAACCGAGATGCGCCTCGACGGGTCCAGCGTGAACATCCGATCCAGCAAGTCTCGAAGCTCAAGTACCAGCTTTCGGTCATCCGACGCACTTTTTGCAGCTAGCAGACTGCTAGCTAGGTCAACCTTGGTCTTGAAGGTTTCCATCAAGCGCAAAATGGGCTTACCTAACGACCACACAGCGCAACAGAATAGATAATAAGTAGCGTATGCGACAAGTGAACGGTAAATACACAGCAGAACGCATTGCTGACCTGTGACCTGATCGCTCTCTCGGCTGCAGAACTTGAGGTCTTCTGTAAAGTGCGGCTCCATCAGCAGCTGGTCAACGTATGCCTGGCGGTGTTTCTTGATCAGTTTATTCGAAATCTTGCCCTTGAGCTCCATAAAGAGTTTGAGCATCTCGTTATTCGTGCTCCCTGGAAACACAACTTTGCCAGTGAACATCTCGTATAAACAACAACCGACAGACCACATATCTACCGCTTTGTTGTAAGCAAGGCCCAGCACAATCTCAGGCGCGCGGTAGAAGCGACTGACCAAGTACGGTGTCGGATCTTGCTTTCCCTCGTCTGATCGAAAAGCCGATCCGAAATCGCACAGCTTGACCGTTGTCTGTTTTTCATTCAGCAGGATATTATCCGGCTTGATATCTACGAGCAAGAGACGCACAACAAATCAATCAGCAGTAGGTCATCGATGCTGTTTCTTGTAAGCATGCAGTCTCTAAACGTACCAGCATGAATCACTCCGCACGAATCCAAATGATTGAGAGCGATTAACAGGTGCTTACTAAAGACGCGCACGGCCTGAATCGAAATGCCACCTTTTCCACCAAACTTCTTCATGGCCTCGCGGACGTTCATTTGCATTGGTTCAAACACCATCGCGACATGATTACGATGCGAAAATGAATCTAGCAGCCGGATACAATGCTTCTTGTCACGTGGATCGCGTTCTCCCAACTCTTTCAATAGCTTCAGCTCGGTATGCGCGGCGTCACGCATTACGTCGTTGTTTCGGATAATCTTGATAGCCACGACGCTCAGCGCTTCACCGTTCGCGGCCTGCAACGGAGTAATGCACTGACAGCGCAACACTGTGGAAAACACTCCCTTTCCAACAGCTCCAAGGACGCGGAACTTGCCATCCAGCACTTCTCCTATAGTGGTAGAGTAATACCCATCAGCGTCGTCGCAATTCGATTGGAGCGACACTTCTTCCACCGAGACAGCAGCCACACCGTTACTACCATTCATTGCATCATCTTGATCATCGAGAGCCGCCATTGAGAACATGTCGAACTCATCTGCACTGGTATCTTCTGCTGCACCAGATAGTCTATGCAACGACAACGATGTCGTCTCTACCGGCTCAAGCATTTCCATTGCTAGGTTCTTCGATATGACCGTTTCCAGCTCTTGTTTGTCTTCTTTAACTACCGTCGCTTGCACTGGTATATCCACAGGTGTCACAACACAAGTATCCTGTCCGCCACCTTTCTTAATTCCCGCAATTGTGCTTCTTGCATCGGCCAGCGCCTTGAGCACATTTTCCTTGATCAAATGAACATCCACAGCTGGTTTTGCAACGCTCACCGGACACTTCTCCTCGACTTCCGTCTCTTTTGTCTCGCTTAACGTTATAAGTCGATCCGTGTCATTCGTCGCTCGCTCCTTTTCGACCAAACGTTCCTGCACCGTCTCTCGATCCTGTCCCACGACCTCACGGTTATTCACCAAGTCCAGCTGTTTATTGACACGTTCTAAGCCGATGGCACTTTTCTGCACGCTTGGAACGGCCGTTTCCGGCTCGATTTCCGGCGATAACGTCGACGGGACAGCAACCACTGGCTCGTTTCGATGCTGTTTCGATCGCCTTTTCCGCGAATCAGAACCGGACCTCGAGCGCGACCGTCGTCGGGATCGTCTGTCGTCCCGGTCACGTCGTCGGCGCTTGTGTCGATCCGTCGAGCGCGAGCGATGGCGACGACTTCGACTGCTGCGTCGCGAGCGGTCTCGACTGCGACTGCGACTTGAGCTGCGCTTTGTGGACGAGCGACGGTACGACGATCGGCGGGCGCTACGTGAGCGACGCGGGCTCGAGCGGGTCATGGCTCGGGATGAAGTGGCGCGGTGGATCTGGATTGGGAGAGCGGTGATTGGTTGAAATGTGCAAATGGTGTTCGATTTCTTGATTAATCGAGATTGTTTCATTTGAGGGTCGGTTTGGACGATCCTATTCGATTCACGATCCTATTTAAATACAGTGACATTGTGATATCGCTGTATCGAGATAGATCCACGCTTCGGCACACCCCGGTACGAGATAAAAACGTACAGTGTGTTTTGTATCGATATATTCGCCACTGTCAATTGGACGTTACATACGCATAGCACATGAAGAGAAACGCTAGTGTCACGAGCATGCCGCCCATCACGATCCAAAAGTCCACCGTGTCACGTCGCTCAATCACTCGCAGGAGCGAGCTTGATAATCCCAGTCGATTTGCAATGTCCAGCAGCTTCGTGCGCACATTCTAGCAAATAAACCACCACACAGAGCACGCCACATACAACCCCTCAGTCAGTTACTGCTGTTACATGTCTCATTCCACAACCGCGACTAACAGAGTACCTTTAGTCGACTACGTTGCTCGCCGAGATCTCCCAGTATCGACTGCGACAGACTCGTCAAGTCCGAGACCATTTGCGAAGATCGCTGCAGACTCTCCGACTCTTGAGCGGCGTACAAGGCCCCGTTGCCGTTATCAAATCCCTGTACAGACCATTGAATCCAGCACACCGTCAGTCTCATTTACCCACAGACCGTAACCCAACGCACGTAATTGGTAACCCCTACAGCATAGCGTCGACTCAGAAGACTTTCTCTCTCGCGCGCCTCCGCTGCTCGACGGCTGATGCTGTAGAGATGTTGCTCTAAGGTGCTGCCTAGTGCATGCGTCTCGCTCCTTAGCTGCTGCAGTTTCTTTGTCCACGTATCCCTAGCGGAGGCTCCAAGACTCTGTTGTAGGAGCGAGTCCAATTGCCACTGCAGCTGCTCCAACGCGCTCAAATTCGCACGAGCTTCAGCCTGCACCCCCTCATCCGTCTTGCTGCCCATGCGACCGGAACCCAAGTAGCTCATCTGCATCTTGAGCTCGAATTGAAGCTTCCGTGCCTGTGGGTAAAGCGACTCGAGCGTCTGGCGCCCATGACTTTGAGCGTTGGGCGGGTGCATTTGGTTACTGTTGTAAATTAGGGAAGTTACGATAGCGATGGAGGATATATCGCTGGATTTTTTGCGTTTTGGAATTATCCGTATTTCACCAAGCGATGGGGGACATATCTTTGGATTATTTGCGAGTTGGAATCATCCGTATTTCACCATTCTTAAGATAGGGGAGCAAGCTTTAAAGCTTGCCCTTTGATAAAAGTAATCCAGTTCGGACAACTGAATCGAGTTATAGAACGACAGACAACAGCAGTCACTGACGAGTGAGAATGATGCTGTTCCTGTCTGGATTATCCCGATAAAGTATACTTAGGTAATGTAACGAGGTAGCCCGTTACATGATATTGTCACCAAACGGTGTCAATAGGGAGATAGTCTAGCGTGACAATCTCCTGCCAATTTTACCCGAGATAGGCACCGCTGAAGAAATATTACCCCCTTATGATAACATTCATGTTCTACTTAAAGATTGGTTGATGACTGACGTATCAACTAGGATTACCACCAATCACTGCTAGACGCTCGTAGTGGGTGGCGAGCAGGTTCTCGTCATACGACAATGTAGCTTAATATGTTTCGATAAGGACTGAAGTTATCTTGATAGCTTCACTCTATTGAATACTGTTCTCTTTTTACCCTTTACTCAAAGTAGCAGTTTGAGTAAATTGGCTTCCTCTGCACGTACGAGTGTACGTGAAGTTTCGCGGCACCCCGAACAAAGGGTGCCCCGTTACACATAAGATATTGACGGAGGTTAATGTTTTCAATGAAGTATCAAGGGTTCAAACAAGTGCTCGTCATAATGATGGAGGTGTTTGGTGTCAAAGAAATTACATTGAGGTTTAAAAAAGCGTATTTTCGCTTAACGCCTGCTGACATAGAGTAACTAACATTCGGGTATGTAGCTGGTACATTTAAGATGCAGGTAGGCAAGAGTATTGTTTTTACGCAGAAAGCCGGGAAACTTTACAAATCACCACTTTTGCCTATCCACGCACGATTCGCACTGCCTACATCGTATCTTAATTGTTCTATGCTAGCGACGTGAAGCGAAAGACCATGCTAATCCAATTGTTCACTGACATTCATCACCACATCAATATAGAAAGCCCGTTCTTTCCCTCTTCTAAAATCGCAGCGACTGCTTTTGCAGACGGTGCTGCTCCTGCGACAACTGCTCCATCGCAAGGCTTTGAAAGTCCGTATCGGCAGGTGCATTCAGCAGTCAGAAGAATGCCGCAACGGCTGTCAAACACGACGCCGTTTAACAAGGCTTCGCTTTATGCAAGTACCGTAGCAATAAATTCGGGACCAACGGCGGAAGTAGCACATTTTTCGTGGACATTCACCCCGGAGGCTATGTCCGTATTGACAGATACAATGATTGACGCGCGGGCAAGCGTGTTTATTTCACTTACCGCGGGCGGCGCTAGGCTCGATAGAAGTGGCCTTTCGCTTAACGACCGCTGGCATGAAATACTTGAGAAAAACATGTAGCCGGTATGAATCGTGCGTGGATAGGCAAAAAGTGATCCTTTTTTAAAGTTTCTCAGAAAGTGGTAATTTTTTTTTCTCCCGTTTCGAAGAGAGCGAGTCGTAGACTGTCTTTGCAGCATTTCTGGCATAGAAAATGTTAGACAAAAAGATAGCCTTATTTGAGCCAGGTGCTTTGGACACTGTACCAGTTGTATTCAGAGTTTCCGCTGGTTTTTGCTATTTACTCTTTGCGTGGCGTCCTGCCTGTCTCACGGTAGACGATCCGATTTGTGGAAACCCACACGCCACGAATAAGGAGGGCTGCGCCTTCTGCAATGCCAAAGGAATGGACCTTGTAAGTTGCGATACAAATGCCAAGCTTTCGCGTTGGCACCCACTTATGTGGCCCGCTTTTATTTGGCTTGACTGTCATCATTTTAAAAATTGCTCCCTTCCAGCCGTAAGCACATTTAACTCCGACAGCTCAACGATGCGCGTTGACTTCACCGTTCTTGTGGCAGCCGCAACAGTTCTGGCCTGCAACGAGAAGCTGTTAGGGGTACTCGGTTTCCCCCTAATAGATGATGACGACCCGGATCTGACCGGCGACTACCACGAAGCCGTCCCCGCCAAAAGGAGCCTGAAGGTTTCGGACAAAAACACTGAGGGGAGGATGATGCCGGCTGGAGGAGCAGGGGATCTCATCAATTCGGTCGTGCGCCATTTCTACCCGCCAAGTAGTGGGGGTATTTCTCAGCGCGGTACGAGGTCAGCTGCAAAGCTCAAACGCAAATTGCCCGCAGTACTGCAAATGGACAAACGGGAATTGGTAAAAAATATTGCCCTAATCAAGGCGTGGTATCATGTGTCGGAGATATCCATTGACAAACTGGCGAAGTTCGTTGGACTGTTTTCCGTCACTACCCGCACTCCTCAGATTTTTACAGACCACGAAGTTCGAGGGATTGTGCTGCTGCGTTTCTACATCAAGTACGTCAACGAATGGGAGCACACCCAACATACGGTGCTTGAGACGCTGACGAACTACTACGGCGAGTCGGTGTTGTCAACTGTTTTGATGGAATCGATTCGTCATCTTCCGGTTGAAGAGTCCGCCCTTGTAAAAGACTTGCAACAAGAGATGATGGCAGGCTGGGTGCATAGGAAGCTGCCCGCCGAGGAGTTGTTTGACATGCTGAAGCTCAAAAATAGAGGGGAGAATGTCTTGTACAGCACGGAGCTATTGACATTGGAGCGATACGTGGAAGCGCAGCTCCATGGAAAACCTTTGCCGTCCCAGTACACGGATCTAAAAGCTGTGCTGCCCCAGCACAGATCAGTGGCGCTCGAGGATGGAACTCAGCTACCCCTCCACCAGTTTGAGCAGCGCCGCGATCGAGTTGTCGTCGGCATCTTGTCAAAGGGCTTTGGAGACGGCGAGTTTGCAATAATGTTGGCCAAAGCGCTTGCCCGCTACTCCCTTGATGAGAAGGCCAGAGCGTATATGGACGCTATGTTATGGCGCTGGAAAGATGAAGGCAAAACAGACTTGGAGCACGTGTTCAACGCTGAGTTCTTTGAGAAGCATTCACTGCACGATCAAGACACTGCCAGGGCTATTATGGATCGTTACCGCACTTACCAAACGATGGAGTTGATCGATGATCAAGCGGCTTAAGCTTGTAGATACGCCACAGATGTTCGTCTAGAAATAAAGAAATTTACGTTTGTCGCTCAATGTACGTCTTCTTTACGCTTTCGCTTGATCATTTTGGTCTCAGGGGAGTCTACACCCTGCGGACCTCTAGTCAGCGAAAAGAGTGAAGGCGCTGAAGCTGCTGCAGTTTTCTTGATCCACGTTTACTTTCATTACTCGCTTACTCGCTCGATGTTCAACGGGTCCTTGACGCATTACGTACTAGAGACATCGTCATACCGAGTATACCTACTTCCGGCTGATAACGCGTACCATCGGTGCACTTATCTGTATCTCTCTGCAATCTACTAGCTTTGCTGAAGAGCTGTACCTCGCTAGCCATTAACGCGAGTGCAAGCGATAGGTACCATTTCACAACAAGTGTACACGTCGTACGAATCACATGGGAGCTTGAACCGACACTGTGAATAACCTGAATTCTGTCTTGCTAATTGCTCCACCGCCGCTCACGCGTTCACTCTAGGCGGCGCTGTAATCCACGCTCAAGCACTCACAACTAGCTGGAAGTAGCTGTCTTGTTTGTTTGCCTCGAACAAAATTGTGGACGGCAACACAGCACCAAGGCAAGCGCTCCAACGCGGCTGCGAGCTTGTCAATTTGCACCACGATGTTGATGGCGAACTCGATACCTGGGCCTCAAGATCCACATCCAGTGCGTCAAAGATGGTCTGTTCACAGTCGAGAGTTCACCAAATTGGTACAATTTTTCCACAAACCGTCGAGGCCGAGCGCAATGGGACTCTAGATAAATGGCAGCAAAACCACGTCATTTTTTGTGCGCGCACGAGCACTCGACACCTATTTTGGCACCGTCAGTGGCATGCAGCAGTACTGTGGCGTTGTGGAGCTGTAACGGGGTAAATCGTTACATAACAATTTATAAGAAATTGTTAGTAGAATATGACTATAAGAGTTATATTCTCAGAATATTGTCATAAGGACAAATATTCTGTAGCACTTACGAGTAGTTCCTAATTGGTTGATATAGGACATTATATCAACCAACGATGCCACGACAGACGCACGCAATGAGTGGTGAGCAGATAGTTGATATACACATTTGTATTTAGACATAGTTAGATGAGGATAAACAGTGATTTATTAGCAGACATCAACTATGATAAATACAGTTCTACTTTTTACTTAAACAGTAACGGGGCACTCTGAAGCTTGAACTGATGACAGTACAAGCTCCTTATTCTGATGACAGAATAAGGCGGTGCCTCGGAACTTCACGTACACTCGTACGTGCAGAGGAAGACGGTAAGAATAAGCGAGTACTTAGTTTAAGTAAAAAGTAGAATAGTATTTATAATAGTTAATGTCTGCAATAAATCACTATTTATCTTCATCTAACTATGTCTGAATACAAATGTGCATATCAACTATCTGCTCACCACTCAGCGCGTGCGTCTGTCGTGGCGCGTCTTCGTTGGTTGATATAATGGCCTATATCAACCAATCAGGAACTACTCGTAAGTGCTACAGAATATTTGTCCTTATGACAATATTCTGAGAATACAACTCTTATAGTCATATTCTACTAACAATTTCTTATAAATTGTTATGTAACGATACAACCCGCTACATCACCTCCCCCCCTTAACCATTAGTCACTTTAGTGACTGATTGACTAAATGTATACTCATCCCAAATCATTTGGGACAGGGTTTGCACTTGTTGGTCCGAGTCCACTTTCCAACAGTTCATCGCATGGCTAACAAGCCCATGCGGTGCGCGAGCAAGGCCGCCGAGAGCGCGTCCGCACGTCTCTGTGCGGACGCTGAAGCAGAAACCACAGCAACTGATGTCTCATCGGTTGCTGAAGCGACTCAACCAGTGTCACCTGGTGATGCAGGCGCTCGTCATGAAGACACTCATGTCTTCACAGAGTATGAGCTCGGTGTCTCATACTCTCCCGATACGGAAGATGGATCTATATCGACGGCGATTGAATCTAAGCCGCCTGTCAAGCGTGGCATGGACGATGCTTTGCGTCGCAGCATCTTTGGTTCATCTGATGAATCAGATGAACCATCGCCGAAGCGAAGGCGCTCGAAGTCGCAAGACTCAGGCGCTCACAGTGGTGTCGGTTCTCCTATGGACACCACTTCACAACGAGGTGCCAGCACTTCTGTCGGCACGTCGCAAGAAGAGTGGGACCGCAGTGTGTTGCGTCTCGCTCCCGAGAAGAAGGCATGGATGCCTCCAAAATCCGTCATGGATCGCTTGTCGGTGACGACGAGTGATCGTTATCGAACACGGTTGTTCGATTCGTCAAGGATCCATCACCTTGACCCCAGCGCGAAAAACTATCGCGCTGAACATGAATTCTTCATCGATGGTTTCTTTAGACATCGATGGTACAGTGGGAATCACAAACGTGATGGTCCCTCACTGCTTCAAGCGTGGAACGCTTACATCCATCACCTCGAGGATGTAGGTCGTGACGTTTGGAACGACAAACTTATCAAAGCTCGTGATAAGTTTGAAAAGCGAACCCCGACAGGTGCACGCTACAAGCTGCATCGTCTGTCTAGGGAGAGTGGGTTACCCTGTCTCTCCTGGGGAGACTCGTGCCCATGTTGTGTGAAAAACTCTGCACGAGCACCTAAGGAGGCTTACCTCCTTACTAGCCCGTGGTGGCGCGTACGTATCTCTAGTGAGATGTACGAAGGGATTGACAACCTGAAATCCCTTTACGACCGTGCCGGGAAGAATTTCTCCGGCGGTCCTTCTGCGGCACAGGATGTGCCGCATCGTACTGCTATACCAGACCCAGTACGTCAACCATCAGTTGGGAGCGGGGCTCCCAAGAATCCCAGGACGGAGGATAGCCGCGCCATCGGACGAGATAACTCGTCCGACGTCCGTTCACGTCGCGGTGGTTCAACAGCTGCTCAACTAGATAGCGCTGGCGACCGCGAGAGTCCTCTAATGGAGGTGGAGGAGGAGGAAAGACGCTCTCCACACGATCATGTGGATCGGTGTGTTCCCGAGAGCTTCTTTGATCGCGTAACGCAAGGGTTACGCGACGATCTCGAACATGAGCGGAATAGGCGTCTTCAACTGGCGGACGCTGTCTTGAAGCATCGAGCTGAGTTTGCTTTTGCTCAGATTGAGAACGAGAGAGCTTTGACATCTCTGCGTGACGAGCTAAGGGTAGCTCGTGGGATTGTTGATCGGTCTCGGGATGAGATAAATGCTCTTCAGACCCTTGTCGATGCCCATCATCGGGAGCACAAGGCTCCCTGCAAGATGCTTGAGCGCAAGGGCGTTCTTCATCGGAAGAAACAGCGTACTGATGGTACGGTTTAAGCCGACCAACGTAAAACGTGGGATGCGTTCGCATCTTACGTGGCAGTTCGATTGTGTATGCGTTGCCTAGGCGATGCAATACACGAAATGGGCCGATGTACTTGGGTAGTAGTTTACTGGTAGATTAACCGTAGACAGTAGGACTAATTCACCTTTGTTAAATAAAAGAGTGTTTGACCTTCCGTTCTTGTCAGCGTTTTGCTTTTGCTTATCCACCGCTTCGGCGATGGAGTCTTGCACAAAACGGACTACCGTTTCACGATCCAGTATGAATTCATCTGATGACTCGTTAGCTTCAGTGCGCTGTGAGTGCACTGCAGCAACATCAATCGTTTCTTCAGTGAGGGCTTCCGCACTCTCACTGGCATCATCTTCTTCGACATCGATGTTATCGATATCGGCATCAAACGCAATGACCTCTTCGTCAGAGCGTGATAAGCGTGAACCAAATCGGTTTTTGCTCGCGCGAGTCCTTCCCCCCTTTAAACCAGAGTTACACTTTAGTAAGGTGGGTACATGCGGATGGCGCAAGCCATAAACGTAGAACGGTGTATTTGTCGTGGACGCATGCACCGAGTTGTTAATGGTAAACTCTACCATTGGCAAGAACTCACTCCAACTCTTAAAGGAGTGTACGTATCCTCGAAGTATCTCTTCGAAGACACGATTGGCACGTTCCGTCTGACCATCTGACTCTGGATGATCAGATGTTGACATCTTCAAGCGCGTTCCGAGTGATTTGAACACGGAACGCCAGAAATCAGCAGTGAATCGTGGATCTCTGTCTGATACGAGTTCACGGGGCAACCCATGAAGTCGGAAGATGGTGTCGATAAAGACACAAGCACAGCCACTTGCCGTGATTGTCTCTGGTACAGCCACAAGGTGTACCATTTTGCTGAATCTGTCAACAAATACGAGAATACCCGTATTCCCGCGTGCGTCTTTGGGTAACCCGAAGACGAAATCCATTGAGATGGATTCCCAGCACTCAGCCGGAACAGGTAGAGGCTGTAAAGGCGCATGCAGTGAAGGACTTGACTTCACTCGTTGGCAGACTTCGCATGCGCGAACATACTTTCGCACAAACTGATACTGGCGGGGCCAGTAAAAGTCTCGACTTACCGTGAGATATGTTTTCTCCCGGTCACGATGTCCTCCTATAGGAGCATCGTGATACTCGAACATGATCCGCAAACGCAGATCAGTATCTTCTGGAATGACAACACGTGGTGTGTCATCAGTAACGGCTGTATAATACAGTAAACCGTTACGAGTAGTGTATCGATCTGATGCAGATCGATACGCAGACGACAATCGTTTCAACGATTCTCGAGATGGATGTGAGAGATGTGTCAACGACTTCACAATCTCACCATCTTGGGCGTATGTCCGCCTCACATCATCATACAACGTTGTAGATGGGACTGAGGACGTCATAACCGCAACAGTGACTGTCTCACTCTCGGGTTTCGCGACTGTTTCAAAGTCGGGACGACGTGAGAGTGCATCAGCGACGACATTAAGTCGTCCTGGTTTGTACTCGACCGTAAAGTTGTATTCTGCAAAGAATGACAACCACCGCGCCATTCGTGGTGAAAGGTGCGGGCTGTTCACTGCGGTGCGTAACGACGCATGGTCAG